TTTTAGTTCCTTAACAAGTACTAAATGAAAGCTATCCAAGGCTTCCAACGAAACTTCCTGTGCCAAGTCCTTGGTAAAAGAAGGTGAGAAATACGATTGAATTTAAGAAAACCATCCATTGAACAATATGAAAAGAAGTGGTACAAGTGTGGCCCGAACTGTCCCAGGAAGTATAAGAAAACCCAACACAACCTGAGGTTCCTAGTGGCCAGAAAAATGAAATAAAGGATGCTTGCAGCATATCAACCCAAGCTTTCACACCCATAATAAGAGTGTTGTACAACTATACTTTCCATACCTTCCCTTCTTTGCCTCCATAAGAAAACATTTTTTGCCTCCACATGTTACCTCAAAGCACCACTACAAACAACCTTTTTTCCTACATCATTACTAATGATTAACCTCATCCATCATAATCCATTCGCTGATATGTCAACTCCCCAAATACTGAAAACATCACATCTTCCATACTCCTCCTCCCCGCAATTTTATATCAATTTTTCTTTATCAATGTTCACTTTCAACTTTCTAACCTTTTTACACACATTCTCAAATTCGTCCACTAACCTTTTGCATTATTCTTTAGAATCTTCTCATCGAGCACAGTACATCGCCAAAAAGAAACTGAGTCAATTCCATTTTGTATTAATTCCCCATAATTTAAATCGCCACCGCCTCCTCCCGAACACCCTAGCATTCACCTTCATTTACAACCCCATCTGTAAATATATTAAACAACCAGGTGACATACACATCTGTCTTAGACCAACTTTTACTGGAAGTAGTCTCCCTCTCTTTCTGCACCCTAACCTGAGCCTCACTATTTCAAAAAACTCTTTACCAGCATTTATTAAACATACCACCTATTCCATAGCAGTTGCAAACATCTGCCACATTGCTCCCCTATCCACTCTTATCAAATTCTTTTCTAAATCCTTAATCCAATAAAAACTTCCTTACCTTTATCTAAATACTAGCTCACATATATGCTTTAATGTAAACACTTTGATCTATCACATCCCCCTACCCACTCTAAAATCTCCTTGCACATCCACAATTCTACATTCTGTCTTACCTCTAATTCCTTTCATATTACCCTAACGTACACTTTTCCCTGTATACTCATAAACTTATTCCTCTCTAATTTTTATCAATCTATATGTCCCCCCTTCACTTTATATAAAGAACAATACCTGCGCTCTGCCAATCCCTAGTTACCTTCCCCTCTTTCATATCATTTATTAAACAAAAATAACCAACCACTCCACACTATATCGCCCCTGCTTTAAACATTCTGTCATGATCCCGTCAGTTCCAGCTGCTTTACACTACCCCCTTTCATTTCTACGTAATGTCGCCTCATGCACCAGCCCCACTCTCACACCTGCTCTTTCATCACTCCTAAAAGATGATATACCTCCCTGCCAGTGCAATGAATTACCGCCTCCTTTTTTCTTCATCTACATTTAAAAGTTCCTCAAAAATATTCTCACCAACTACTCAAAACCTCACTCCCCATAAACTAACTCCCCTTCTCTGTTTTTAAACCTGGATACATCCATTTTGTTTTCCCTAGGCTTTCTTAACTTATGTTTTTTAACTCCAAATTTTGTCTATTTTTCTTTAAAATTCCTTGACAGTACTTCTCCACTCTATCCTCCTCTCTCCTTTTGACACTCTCTCACCACCTCTTCACCTTTCTTTACTCTTCATATACTCTATCTACTCTTCTTAATAACACTTCTGCTTTGTAATTGCCTCTCAAAACTAACTTTTTCTCTTTTATCACACCCTTTCCTTCATCATTCCACCAATCACTCCTCTTTCCTCCTCTCTGCACCCACCCCTCCTATAACCACAAACTTCTGCCCCACATTCTAATACTCGCAGAAGAGTAAAAACTAATTCCAACCCTCTTCAACCCCCCTCCCCCACTACTCATACCTGCACCAGGCCCACCATTCTGGCCAATATTTCTTATATTTCCACCCAACTATACCTCCTCCCCTTAGTTTATACACTTTCCCAACCTCCCTCTTACTTGTTTGTTGCCATTTAAACCTCTTATCCCTCTACCACTTACTCTAATCTGTAGCCCGCTTAACAACTAGATAATGATCAGATATACAGTGCCCCTCCTATAAATGGTAGCAACCTGGAGCCTACCCAACAACCTTTATCCACCAATACATAATCGAGAATAACTACTTCATTATGTGCTACATCATAACCTTGTATATTTATTATCCTCTCTTTCATAAAATCACTTCGGTATCTACAACTGTAAAAAACATAAGCTATAATCGGTAAGGCTTGGGATGGAAAGACTTCCAGACTTTGAACTCTGCTTGGACAATTGGTGGCCACAAAGTGTCCTCCCAAGGGATTTTTTGAAGGGTTTGAGGCTGAACCTGACCCTACCGACCCCCTCTGCTTGTTGTGGAAGGTATTGTGGCATTGGCAAGTCCATTGAGTTGGAGGTGGAGTGGACAGGGATGTGGAAGAGTTTAGTGGAGGATCACAGGGGAAGATAGCAACCACTGACAAACTTGCATAGGGCTTCAACTGGAACAGCATCATACCACACTGAGAACTTTCTTTCAGGGATAAGGAAAAGGGAGTGAGGAGGTGCCCTCTACAATGATTAAGGACATGTGTTGTAAAGTTGCATGATTTTGCAAAGATTTGTTGAAAAGTTATCACCCTGGACCAAGCTGAAGACATAACCATATCTGCAACATGTTCAGTGACAAAACACCTTGTCTCACTTCAGGGAAATCTTAGAGATACCAGAACAGAGCACTCATGAAAGTTATTTTTGTGCGATCATGGGTCCAGTGACTCTGCAAGCTCATCCTAGTGGCATTAAAAGACAAAGAAGGGAAAGTAATCCCAGATAAGGACCTTGTTACCTAAAGTCTTTAATGGAAGTTGATTCCCCATCCAAACAATAAGTCCCCTTCTCTCTCTCCATCTCTCTCTCCTCCCTATCTTCCAGATGCCAGCAAGAGACACTTCAATAAACGTATGTTAAATGTTGATTTAAATGTTTATTTAAATGTTATTTATGTATTGTATTACTCATTAAAGTACTATATACAAGGTCCGCCATCACAAATCCGGCAATCAGTTTATTTGCACGTTCATTCAATTATTCAGTCACTAATTTTGGGCCTGCATAAGTTCAAATTTCCAGGGTCGCCACCCAACCTCTGTAACTGTTTGGTGGCACTAACTTCTGCATAAAGTCATTTCCAATTTCTTTTTCCTCCATTTATTGTTTTAACCTGCTTTCTTATTAGCCCTAGCCATGGATTCCCAGAATAAAAGAAATGCTATCTCATTATGTAAAGCAACCTAACACAGTACATTATCCATTAAAAAAGGTGGCTTTGTAGACCACTGTCGATTGTCATGGAGCTCCTTCTCATGAAGCAGGAGAATATGCTTTATTAATAACGCTAATATCAACACTACAGCGATATTTGCCTATCACAATTGATCTAATATGACCATAAGAAAAACAATATCAATAACACAACATGTTAAAATACCCAAATGAATAATATTTGGCATAAACACCGAGTCAGTACGACAGAATATAAGAGGATATTGTATACAAATACCATTCTCCTATCCTGTCTTGGGGGTTTATATTAGAGAAAAACGGAGTATACACAGGGCCTACTGTGATAACACCGTACTGCCACCATAAACCGCAACAAAAAAGTTATTTTCTCTATAATAGATTATCACAAAAGCAAGCATATAATTTAGAGAACCCTAGGATAACCCAAAAAAGTCAATGTGGCTTATTTTTAGAGTACCTGGCCTTTGGGTTAAGCCATATATCTTTTTTGGCAAATATTCGATTCCCAGCCAGGGAAGAAACATTAGGCTTGTTTCCTTTACACCTGTTTTGGTATGTTTACACCCATCAGTTAAAATGTGGTTACCTGGGTGGTTAGCCTACTAGTGTGGGTGTTATCCTGGGACACTGACCTAATTTTCCTTGATATAACTTCTGCATAACGACAGCCTGTCTATCAGTAGTGTACTGATGTCAGCTACCCTGTATACCTTGTACATGTACGTGTAGTACCTGGATTTACCTGGAGAGGAGTTTTCGGGGTCTCCGCCCCCGCGGCCCCCGGTTCTGTGACCAGGCCTCCTGTGGATCAGCGCCTGATCAACCAGGCTGTTGCTGGCTGGCTGCCACGCAACCAACGTACGACCACAGCCCGGCAGATCAGGAACTGAACTTTAGGTGGCTTGTCCCTGCCAGCTTTAAGACTGCCAGGGTCTGTTGGTAATCCCCCTTATGTGTGCTGGGAGGCAGTGAACAGTCTCGGGCGCCCTGACACTTATGTAATGGTCTCTTAACGTGCTAGTGACACCCCTGCTTTCATTGGGGGGATGGTGCAATCGTCTGCCAAGGTCTTTTGCTTTCGTAGTGGATGAATTTTCGTGTGCAAGTTCGGTACTAGTCCCTCAAATGAATTCCAGGTGTAATAATCATGTATCTCTCCCTCCTGCGTTCAGGGAATACAAGGTTTAAAACCTCAAGCGCTCCCCAGTAATTGAGGTGATTTATATCCGTAATGGCGCGCCGTGAAAGTTCTCTGTACATTTTCTTAGGTCGGCAATTTCACCTGTCCTTGAAAGGTGCTGTTTAGAGTGCAGCAATATTTCCAGCCTAGATCGAACAAGTGACCTGGAAAGTGGTCATCATGGCTTTTGGCCTCCTAGTTTTGAAGGTTCTCATATCCATCCTGTCCATTTTTCCTAGCAGATGCGATGAAAACAATTGTTATGTCCTTGAAGGTTAGTAACCTCCGACAAAATAATCACTCCAGTTCATTGAATTGGTGGTTTCGTCTCTATTTTTGTGGCCAGAATTTGTTTTGTACTCTGAAGAAGATTTAATTTGTTCCTCAAGTTTACCATATCAGAGTAATTGAAATTTCTCAATCGTTGAACTTCATTTGTTTTCTCTGCAGCCCAAGCAAGATTTTGGTTGATGTTCCCCGCCTGGATCCTTTGCAAGTGTCTGCAATGGAAGACACTGTCATGCAGATTCGGGTGTCATCTGCAAAGGAAGACACGGTGCTGTGGCTGACATCCTTGTCCTATGTAGTGGTATGGGAGTTTTCGGTGGGGGAAATAAATGAGAATAAAATCTGGATATACAGGTCTTCCCTCACATTCCCCCTCGTTTTCAACTTTCAGCCGGCTTCATACTTTTGGGCTAATTCCCCAGACCTTGCCCAAATTTCCAGCTGCAAATCATATTTAAGTTTACCGCCATGAGTCCCTACTACCCTCCCTCCGACCCCTGCAATTGGCAGCCAGCCCTCCCACCACTGTGTGGTGAGTGTTTTGTTTGTTCATTATTTGCTGTTCATTATTTGCTATTAAACTACAGTATAAATAATGTAAACCCATCCATAACTGCATATTAGAATGGCTATTCAGACAGGTATTGGAAGGTGACATCATGTGTTTACTCTTGAACACAGCAAAGAATCAAACATTTCTGCTACTGCTAATAATAATAATAATATTAATATAATACCTAGGTAGTAGGTTGGTAGACAGCAACCGCCCAGGGAAGTACTACCGTCCTGCCAAGTGAGTGTAAAACGAAAGCCTGTAATTGTTTTACATGATGGTAGGATTGCTGGTGTCCTTTTTTCTGTCTCATGAACATGCAATGATTTCAGGTACTCTGGCAACTTCTACTTACACTTTTTAGGTCACACTACAATACATGTACAAGCAAATATATAACACACCCCACTGGGTTTCTTCTATTTCCTTTCTAGTTCTTATTCTTGTTTATTTCCTCTTATCTCCACGGGGATTGAACAGAATTCTTCCTCCGTAAGCCATGCGTGTTGTAAGAGCAACTAAAATGCCGGAGCAAGGGGCTAGTAACCTCTCTCCTGTATATATTACTAAATGTAAAAGGAGAAACTTTCGTTTCTCCTTTGGGCCACCCCACCTCGGTGGGATACGGCCGGTGTGTTGAAAGAAGAAGAAAGATTAATAACTAATAATAATAATTAATAAAATTTAAAAAAAAAAAAAAATTTAATAAATATATAGAATTGAAGAAGGAAATTGTACAAAAAATGCGAGGGCGAAGCATTGGTGCAGGAAGATGGTTGACGCAGCGTCAGTGTGGCATTGTTTATGCTAGGAGGTGAGTATTAGTCTCCGTGCTCTTCCAAACATTTCACAATAAATTCATTGTGATTTGTGCTTGTTGGAATGAGTGTGACTGAGTGGTTGAGGCATGGTAGAGTCAGTATAGAGTCTGTGGGTGAGGCAGCAGTTGAGGCAGTGTAGAGGCAGTGTAAAGGCAGTTGGGTGAGCAGTGGGTGAGGCAGTGATAGAGGCAGTGTGAGGCAGCATTGAGGCAGTGGGTAGAGGCAGTGGTAGAGCAGCAGTTACAGCAGTGGTAGGAGGCAAGTGGGGTGAGATCAGTGGGTAAGGCAGTGATAGAGGCAGTGATATTTACTAACATATATGTTATAAATAATTATAGAGTAACATAATGACTAACAATATTATTATTATAATAATAAATGTAATTAATATTAACATGTTTACAATATTTATTTATAACAAATATGTTAGTAAATACCACTGCCTCAACCACTGCCTCTACCATCTGCCCAACCACCCAGTCACACTCAATCCTACAAGCCCAAATACAATGAATTATTTTGTGAAATGTTTTAGGAAAAGCATGGAGACTATGAACTCACATACCAGCAAAACAAAAGCACACTGACGAATTTGTCAACCACTCTCCTCCACCAACTGGCTTTCAGCCTCGTATTTTTGTACAATTTCCTTCTTCAATTCATCGTTTTATATATTAAATTTTATTATATTATTATTATTATTATTTTTAGTATACAGGGTCCTCCTCACATTCCACTTTTTCAGCTTTCGCAGCTTCACACTTATCGCGAATTCCCAACCGCCAAATTCCCAGCCCACCAAATTCCAGCCACCAAATTCCCAGCCGCCAAATCAATCAAGTTTCACGCCACCTGCGAGTCCCTACTACCCTCCTCCGACCCCCCCACAACTGGCAAGCCAGCCCTCCCACCACTCAGTGGTGGGTGAGTGGTTTTGTTTGTTCAATTATTTGCTATTAAACTACATTATAAATAATGTAAAACATTCATTACTGCATATTGGAATTGCCATTTGGGTTGGACGAGGTATTGTACGGTGACATCATGTGTTTTACTCTTGAACACTGCAAAGAATCAAACATTTCTGTTACTGCTAGTAATAACAATAGTAATAATAATAATAAAATAATAATAAAAATTAATAATAATAATACGATGTAATTTAAGAAGTTAATTGTACAAAAATACGAGGATGTTGACACAATCGTCAGTGTGCCTTTGTTTATGCTGGAGTGAACATTAGTCTCCCTGCTCATCCCACATTTCCACAATAAATCATTGTTTGGTGCTTGTAGATTGAGGTGTGACTGGAGTGGTTTAGGCAGTGGTAGAGGTGATAGAGGTAGTGGAGAGGCAGTGGTAGAGCAGTGGGTAGAGGCAGTGATAGAAGTACAGTGGTACAGGCAGTGGTACAGGCATGGTACAAGTCAGTGGTAGCAGGCATGGTACAGGCAGTGGAACAGGCAAGTGGTACAGGCAGTGATGAGAGGCAGTGGTAATGCAGAGATAGAGCAGTGATAGAGCAGTGGTAGAGCAGTGGTAGAGCAGTGATAGAGGCAGTGGCTAGAAGCACGATAGAGGCAGTGGGTAGAGGCAGTGATAGAGGCAGTGGAAGAGGGCAGAGGTAGAGGCAGTGATATTTACTAACAAATATGTTATAAATAAATTAATAGTACATTATTACTAACATTATTATTATAAAATGTTATTAATATTAACATGTAGCTAATATTATTTATAATATACATATATGTTCTTAAATCCACTGCCTCTATCACTGCCTCTATCACTGCCTCTATCACTGTCTCTATCACTGCCTCTACCACTGCCTCAACCGCTGATTATTGTGAACTTGGGAAGAGCAGGGAGACTAATGTTTCACTCCAGCATAAACAAAGCCCACACTGAGGCGAGTGTCAACCACTCCCTCGTATTTTTTTTTGTACAATTTCCTTCTACAATATATCGAATTATTATAATTATTATTATTATTATTATTATTATTTATTATTATTATTATTATTATTAATTACTATTGTTATTATTAGCGGTAGCAGAAATGTTTGATTCTTTCCTGTTTTCAAGAGTAAACACATTGATTCACCGTCCAAAACCTGTTCAAGTAGCCAATGCCAATATGCATGTCATGAAGTGGTTTACATTATTATACTGTAGTTTAATAGCAAATAATGAACAAACAAAAACACTCACCACACAGAGTGGTGGGAGGGGCTGGCTGCCAGTTGCAGGGGTCGGAGGGGAGGTAGTAGGGACTCCATTGTTGAGGAAGTGGTGGAGGCAGGGTGGAGTCTGTTGTATTTAATAACATACATGTTATTAAAGCATAACATGTAATAATTTTAGTACAAACTACGACGTTTTCCTGTATTTTATGATTGTTCATGTTCAACCAAGTTAAGCAGTATTGTAATTATATGTCCCCTCCAGGTATAGTGGGGCAGCAATATTCACGGTTTTTTCAACATTCGCAAAGGCTCTTGATCCCCTAAACCTCGCAAATGTTTTTTGTGGGACAACCTGTATTATTATTATTTCTTTATTTTTTTTTTTTTCAACCAAGTCGGCCGTCTCCCCAACCGAGGCAGGTGACCCAAAAAAGACAGAAAAATCCCTCAAAAAAGAAAATACTTTCTCATCATTTCAACACTTTCACACCACACTCACACATTATCATTGGTTTTTGCAGAGGTGCTCAAGAATACAACAGTTTAGAAGCAAATCCGTATAAAGATACACAACATAAACTCCAAACGCCAATATCCCAACCCCTCCTTTAAATGCAGGCATTGTACTCCCATTCCAGGAACTCAAATTCGACTATATGAAAATAACTGGTTTCCCTTAAATCCCTTCACTAAATATTACCCTGCCACACTCCAACAGGATTGTCAGGTCCCAATAATCATTGTTTCCATTCACATCCTATCTAACACTGCTTTCAATGCACGCTTGCTGAAGTCCAGCCCCTCGCCCACGAAACCTCCCTTACCTCCCCTCTTTCCAACCCTTTCGAGACGACCCCTACCGCACCTTCCTTCCCCTATAGATTTTATATGCATTCCATGTCATTCTACTTTGATCCATTTCTCTCTAAATGACCAAACCAACCTCAACAACCCACTTACTGCCTCTGACTAATGCTTTTATTAAGTCCACATCACCTTTTCTATTTTCCACACTCCGGAATTTTCTGCATAATATTTACTCCCACATTGCCCTTGACAGGACATCTCCACTGCCCTCCAACTGTCTCCGTCCCTCGCTGCTGCATTTACCAACCCAAGCTTCACATCCATATAAGAGTGTTGTGACTACAATACTTTCATACATCCCTTCTTTTGCCTCCATAGGATAATGTTTTTTGACTCCAGCATATACCTCAACACACCACTGCAACACCTTTTTTTCCCTCATCAATTCAATGATACCTCATCCTTCATAAATCCATCCGCCGAAACGTCAACTCCCAAGTATCTGAAAACATTCACTTCTTACCATACTCTCCTCCCCAATTTGATATCCAATTTTCTTTATTCTAAGATCATTTGATACCTCATCACCTTACTCTTTTCTATGTCACTTTCAACTTTCCCTACCTTTACCACATTCACAAACTCATCCACTAACCTTTGCAATTTTTTTCTTAGAATCTCCCATAAGCACAGTATCATCGAGCAAAAAGTAAACTGTGTCAATTCTCAATTTTGAATTTGATTCCCCCTCATAATTTACGTCCCACCCCTCTCCATAACACCCGAGCATTTACTTGTTTTAACAAACCCCCATCT